GAGACCGTCAAAGACATAGACGAGATTGAGATTAAAAAATTAGACACAGATAACTTCCTGCCAAGTTTCGACTCGGAACTTGCGAGTGCTGATTTTCTGCCGAAGGATAAGGATGATCTGATTACGTCGGGATGTAGCACGTCGATCCATGAGCCGAATTCGTTCGCAAACATCTTGGACTCGTCAACGGAGAACAAAGATGTTACCCAAGAATCGGAGACAAATGACGATTTGTCCGGATATTGGGAACCGAAGCAGAAACGAAGCATCACTGATCGACTGCCACCGAACTCGTACTATCTGATAAATCCGAGTCGCTACATATTCCCAGGCGCTGAGGTCTATTACGATCCAGACGAAAAATGCAGTTATCTCGAAAATACAAGTTCAGACTCCTCCGACTCGGATGATTCTGATGCGGAAATCCAGGATGTGTCTATGTAAATTAATTTATTTAACATGGTAATTGTAGGTTAGTACACATTGAAATTGTTGTTTAGCTACGGATTAATACGACTAGTAAGTTATTGATGTTGAGGGCTTCATAATTCTTACACATAATGTCTTTTACGAATTATCTTTTATGGAACCAATCATGACTTTTCTAGTTGTAACATTCGTAACGTTGTTATTAAATTGGAATGCGTGGTGTTTGGTGTGCGTGTGAACTTTCATGAATGTGATTTCTGAGCGTGGATTATTTGGGAATGCACAAACACCGACCTAAATAGAATAAGCAAATTACAAAGAAAGAAACGGAAAAGATTATAAATATGGTTGTGTCAATTGCAGAATTTTGGTTTTGTGATCTCGTTATTAATTTAACTAAATTTAGAGGATATATGTAAGCATGGAATAGCAAGAAGTAAATGCAGCGCCATTATCGGCGCATTTTCTCGTACCTTGTTTTTATATAGACGGTTTTTATAATTGTAAATTATTTCGTACCAATAAGCGTAATTTAATTAGAGTAGATTACGATATGAGATTCAAGCAATATGTTCTTAATACGTGTTTCTTCATTTCATGCATACATTTTCGCGCATCATGGTTCATTTAATCAATTGTTATTCATCTTCATTTATTTCACGACTTGTCTTTGTTTTTTTTATTATTATATATTTTTATGATTTTTTTTATTTGATCAGTTTCATATTTGAGAATGACGAACCCGGCAGACCGATAAAATATTGTACATACGAAAAATGCAGTGGGATGACACTTTAAAGAATGAGTTTAGAATTTATTGTATAACTTCACGTCGCCTTATTATAATTTACGCAATTTATTTATTTTTTAATAAGCAGGTGAAGTATTCGAAAACAAAAACTTCCAAAAATTAATATTTACCTCATATACATATATGTTAAATATATTGTAACAGCCAGTATATATTTTTGTTATTAAAAGAATTCATTTCATACAACATGCAACATAAATAATTGTAAATGAATTGAATAATCTGTAAATATTGTTGATATTGTTAGGGATAACTCTGTAAAAGCAGGTTGCTGGCTTTGCAGCGCGTGGATTGCCCGATAGCTAGCCAAAACGAACGACGGAAACAGATATTAAGTATTGTATAACTATTTACTGTACTGTACACTAATATTACTTAAACATTTTTTTACGATCGAACTGACAAATAACAAAATAAGAGTAAAGGCGACAAGCGAAAACCAGAATTTCTTGTATGTAGTGAGACCATGTAGTTGGTTGCAATTGGAAATGATTTCCACACTTGAAATCCTATCTGTAAACTCTGCCGCGTAGGTGATGTAATTACACATTTAAATTTGCATTACATGCGTACGAACAGTCCTATTTATTCAAATAATAAACAAATCAATATTTTTTGTAAATTAGATAATGAAAGATGGAACATCGTTTGGAACTAATATTTCTGCATAAATATATTGCACTTCACGAATTTGCATACAAATTACTGGTTCTAACTTCCTTAACTCGATATTCCTATCAAAATCGTAATTTCCGATTAACTTGAAAAACAATCATTGCTAAAGTGTATTATTGATCTGAAGAAATTTCATTACTCAAGTCATTAATTATTGTTTAGCCAGAGATAAACTAAATTACAGACTAAACACTTGTTAGTAAACACATTATCGAACACACGTGGAAAAATAAATACAAAGTAAATTGAATAAAATGGCAATATGTAATTATTTAATCAATAACTCAATTAATACTGTTATTATTCATGCGAGTACTCCTTTTTCATGCTGAAGAAACACAATAATGCATATGGAAATACAAATTAATACTGAAATACAATTATTTCTCCGATAAAATAAACAAACATGAAGAATATGCAAAAAAACGTTGTGGAAGCAAAGTGGAAGCTCAAGCAAAGAATACAGATAAACTAAATTTAGGGACTACTTGAAATTTTCAATATTGCCAAAAATAATCCTCTATTGAAAAAACAACTGTAAATTATAAATTCTCAACTTGGGAGGCATTGCAGCCTCCCAACAACACTTGAACTCAAATCGCGTAGACATAAAATTTAATCTCGATTTGATATCAAATGTGAATTTTTAAGTAGTTCCAAAATATAAAAAGAACGATTATAAGTATAATCCGATATCAATCGTAATATCAATTACAATTATGCGTGTTTCCGTTTTATCAGCTTTTCATTTAGTAGGTGCATTATTAAAACAAGATAAGGATATTTTAGAAGAGTGGGATTTCGTAGTAGATATATTAATGTCCGTCAAATGCGAAGCAAATGTGTATAGTTTACTTGATTACTTCAAAAATGTTCTCAAAATTTACGCGCAAAACTCGTTGCTTACTATGGACGGCGATTGTTGGTGGATTTCTTACTGTATTCAGTTTAGTATTCGCTCTTGTTATCCTGCCGGTTATAATAGACGCAGTTCTTTCGGACGTAAGTAAAATTAATTTAAAATTTAAGTTTTGATTTCATGATTATCATTTCATTGTTACAGTATTTGGTCTTGAAAGAAGGAACAGAAGCATGGGATAGATTTATGGAGCTACCTTTTCCAATGGACTTTAATATTTATTTTTTCGAAGTTACTAATCCTGATGAAGTAAAGATTGGTGCAAAACCGTCAGTGAAACAAGTGGGACCATTTATTTATAAGTAAGTTTAAGAAATTATTATATTTTGTATTATATATTTTCTTACTACTTTTTCTTTATTTCCAATGCAATTATTAGAAATTACCGAAAGAAGAGAGATGTAGAAATATTGGATGATGAACATGTGTCTTATTATACTGTTCAAACATTTGAATATGACTATGAACGTTCCGAATTATCTGATGAGGATGAAGTGGATGTGTTGAATTTTCTAGCAATTGGACTTTTTCAAATACTTGAGAACGCCATAATCGATTTTGAGTATAAAATAGAAGGGCTCCTTCCACATGTGATTGGCGACAGTGATCTACTGTTTCACAAAATGAAAGTGAAAGATTTCCTCTTTGAAGGCACAGCGTTTTGTGATCCTACTGAAACCTACCTTCCAGCAAAACTCATTTGCTTAGTTGTAATGTTGTTGAATTTAAAAATGGTTAACTACAATGATGATTTAACTATGACTTATAGTTTATTTGGTTGGGTAAGTTGAACAATACGTAAGAAATTTCAAAAGATTTTCAATGATTTTTATAGAAACAAAATGCCACCGATGGGAAATTTGTAGTAAACACAGGTGAACTAGACATAATGAAACTTGGTCAAATTCAAACATGGAATGACATGAAGTACACACAAACTTGGAAAGGCGAAGAAAGTGACTGTAATAAAGTATCAGGATATGATATAGCTGTGTTTGCACCCAATATGGAGGAAGGACAAAATTTTGACATCTATTCAACCGACATTTGCAGGTAAGTTGATTATTAACTCTTATACGCGTGGGTGAAACTATAAGGTCCGTAAATCGATGCGATAACAACCGATTCGTTATATATTAAACATTATACATGCATAATACAATTTAATTCTGTGCGTATATTACAGCTTGTAATTAATTATTGATTCACGACGTTATTAGATATTGATTTCGTATTGTTTCATTGCGCTGTAATCAAAGCGATAATGAGAAATGTAAATGATATTATTTTCCGTTCTACAAACTCTAATTTACTCACTTATTCCGAACATTATTTATATAAAAAACACACAAAAGTCTATTTCCCATGCATATGTATTTCTTGGCGTTTCTTATATTTAAAATTGTGGTAATTTGCAAATGACTAAGCCATTAATGCTTTTAAAGCATGAGTATTTCATGATGTGAGACAGTCTCAGAATTTTTAATATTTAATGCGCAAAGAATTGTTGAATGTGTCTAGTACACACATGAAGGATGAATTATTAATAATGACAAATTATAGCAATATTTGCCTGCATTGGCTATTTTTGTACTTTTTTCAATGCAAAGAACTCAATAAAACAAAGATCATTTTGGCGTTGCGGTACAAAACTCACAGTATACAATTTGCTCGTTTTGAACCAAAAGACTAAATATTTAAGCAAATTAAACACAAGGAACAAAAACTCATTATGACTATGCAGCTTCAACACTTCTTCTGCAATTTTGTTTGTATATTTAGCAAAATATATAACTATTATATGTTTTCACAGTCAGATTAAAAAGTTAAAAATAACTAAATGACAGGGCACTAATCTAAAAGATTCTGAGAACATTTAGACAGGATATAATATGTTTTTCCAAATAGTTTAGTTAATACAGGTGTTTATTAACTCCTATTGTAATACGAATCTCATTCCAATTATAATTATATCGATTCAGACGATAAAAACTATCGATTTCATTCAACTCTGAAATTCCTAATCTGACAAAACACTTAAAAGGTTCTTAATCAGTAGAATAACTACGTAAATGCCATCAAATTAATCTCTCATGATTCAAACTCACTTAAGCTTTTAACTTGTCAATAACATTAAAAGGGTAATTATTTTCGAAACAAACAAAGTTTAAAATGTCAGTACATATTCATATATTCCAATATAATTTGTTGTATTTTTCAACTTTTTTCATCAGTATAATAAAAAGTTTAACATAACATACATCTTATAATAGCGACATTGCATAATTCTAAATGCTAATGCAATTGCTTGAACATCACGTAAAAGTTAATGATGGGTCAGTAACTTAAGCATCCATGTACTTCAATAACGACTTCACCATATCTTTGGGATTAGTATTTGGTCCATGTCGTTCGACGGGCTGGCCGTTTTTATCGATGATAAACTTGGTGAAGTTCCACTTGATAAAGTCGCCCAGGATGCCGCCTTGTTTATGTTTCAAATACGTGTAGAGAGGATGAGCATCTCCGCCGTTCACGTCTATCTTATCAAACATGTCAAATTTGACGTTCTTCTTCGCGACGAATTGGCATATTTCTTCATTGTTGCCGGATTCTTGCCCTCCGAATTGGTTGCATGGAAATGCGAGAATTCGCAGCCCCTTGGATTCGCCATATTCGTCGTACAACTCTTGCAGTTCGGCGTAGTTATTCTTGGTATAGCCGCATTGCGACGCGACGTTTACGATCAAACACACATGGCCCTTGTACTGGTCGAGGGAGACGACGTTTCCTTTAATGTCGCGCGCTTGGAAGTCGTAGATCGACTTTGCTTCTTTCGGGTTCGGGGGATTCGTGAGTTCTGCCATTACACAAGATTCGCCTACCTTACAGGTATCTGATGCCGACGAGCAACTAGCGAAGAATGAATCGACTGCCGCTACCGGTCGTAATAAAGGCAGCGATAGCGCTGCAATGTTGATTAAATGCACACCGCGTAGTAGTAGCATGGTTCACCTTGGTTACTTACATATGATCGAGAATACTCGAACGCAAAAGCGCAACTCACGCAGCGACACGGCGCTGCGCATGACCAATGCGACTGTTGGATCACGTTACTTGGGTTTATTTTGAATTTGAGTCTTGCTTCATCACATAATAAGTTCTTGCGTCATGAAAACGATAATATCAATACTGATAATAAGTGTAGTATGCCCCGGGTATACTCATCCGGTCAAAGTTCATTTTGATTTGTAAAAATCAACGCCCAAAAAACAATATTGGACCTAGATAACATTCAAATTAATAAACTCGCATCGCAATTGTTTCAGGAACATTTTGCTAGACCTGAACTGTTCTGAATGTTCTAGAACCTTCGAAATGCTCACAATTTAACTTCAATGTAGGCAACTTTCTACTCACTCTACAGAAATTTTAAAAGACACATTTCTGCAGATACATTTTATTATATTAAATTATAAAAATTTCCTTTTATCATATAACACTGTCAACCACACAGTCACAAATCATAAAACGTTAAATATTCAAGTATTTAGTTGATGAAAAAACTACCTAACTACATTTACCAATACTTATTCAAAGTTTCCACCAAAGTTATTGGCTTGGTGGCAGGCGTGAATCGTTCAACTGGTTTGCCATCAGCATCAATAATGAATTTAGTGAAGTTCCATTTGATCTTATCCCCCTTTCCTTTTGGATCTGGGAGTTTAGAGCTCAAAAATTTGTACAGAGGATGTGCATTTGGACCATTCACATTTATCTTTTCAAACATATCAAATTTGACATTGTATTTTTCCACAAACTTGCAAATTGCCTCTGGTGTACCAGGTTCCTGAGCTCCAAACTGATTACATGGGAATGCTAGTATTTTCAATCCCTTGTCACCAGCATATTTCTCATACAGATCCACAAGTTGTTGATAGTTAATTTTTGTATGCCCACATCTTGAGGCAACATTTACAATAATGCTAACATGACCCTTGTATTTATCAAGTGAAACAGGAGTACCTTTGATGTCGTTGGCGGTGAATGCATAAATTGAGTCATCAGCCGCTTTATCACCGTTTTCCGGGATTGCTGCAGTCTTCTGGGTCTCTTCAGCTTTTTTAGTTGCCTTGGCAGTTGGAGTTTTCTTGGGTTTGGAAACTTTCTTAGCTTCCATTGGAAGTTCCAATGTAGGTTTCTTGCCGCCAGCAGCAGCCGCACTCCTTGTTACACGTTGACTCATGTTTAGACAAAATAAACGTATAAAATGTGCTTGGTGTGATGATCAAAACTTAGAAACCACTATCAACACTTAACCTTCTAGCCGGTTTCTGGCCACAATTTTGTTTGCGCGGGAATCTGAGAACTTGTTTTAACGTGTGTTGAAACAACCGTTACAACCAATCAAATCAATGCCGCACCCGCCTTTCAGTCAAAACAAATAATATTTAAAACTTTCATAATAGATACCATTTACTTATCGTTTGTTGTCTTCTTTAGAACAATGACAATGAATTACATGGAGAAAAGTAAATTTCGAGATGTCAATGTTTACAAATATGGTTTCAATAAAAATACATGGAGAACAACGAACTGCTCTCCGGAAGAATCTTGCTTTTGTTCAGATTATACCAGAGGATTAGATGGAGAAAAATCATGCTTTATGGATGGGGTCCAAGATGTATATCCATGTTTAGGAATACCAGGATTGGCATCCTTTCCACACTTCTTACATGCTGATGAAAAATATTCCTCAACTGTCGATCATCTACACCCAAACGAAGATGAGCATGGATCGTATCTGAAAATGGAACCCGTAAGTTCAATATTGATGTAACCTGTGGTATTTTGTTTACGACCCTTTCGATTTATATATAGCTCACTGCTGCTCCATTGGAAGGTTGGATCAGTCTTCAAATTAGTTTAATCACACGCCCAATCAAACTGGGTGGAAACATGGTGGAAATGACTGAACACTTGAACAACACCGCAATGCCATTGCTCTGGCTTCAACAGGTGAGCTAATTCAGTGTATTTTAATAAATTTTTGGTAAAATAACATTATTTGTTTTAGGGAGTCACCATTACTGACGAATATTATGACATTATTGATTCCGCAATGACTCTTCTTTTGGTAGCAGACATTTTGAAATGGGTTTTCGTGCTTATATCAGGACTGGTGTTTATGTTTGCGGCCTCCAAACTATTACTAGGAACAACTTAAATGTAAACATATTCTGAATTATATTAAACATGTATCTAATTAATTAATTTATTGTGTATACTTGAAAAGAAACTAAGGTCCAACACTTATATTAAGTAGAAAAATATCTCCCAAGCATTTACATCATAAATATGCGTTTTGTTGTTCTAATAAAACCGATATTGGATGGTCAAAAGTCATGCAACCAACATATGTAAATACTTAACAACATTTATGTAAGGAACTTAACACTTTGAAAGAAGATTTATGTTATACGCGATACCCTGTTGGCATGCAATCATTACTAAAATTATTCGATTTTACGAAAGTCAGCAAACGGTTAAAATTTAGATCAGTTTTCGCCTTCTCGGTCAAACCACAATAATCTTAATTAATTGTCGCAAGTACAACAACATTTGATGTACTACTGCGTTTCAACGACGTCGGATCTATAATACTAGTAAATAAAACAAAATAACATCTCTACGCAATACATGCAATGTTTTAGCACTAATTGTCCTATGATATTATCACATTATCGACAAACAGTTGTATATGACAATATGTCAAGAACATAAAACTTAAGGAAAGACTAAAATAAAAGAAAATCGTGAATCCGACGTCCTGCCCCGGTCCCGCTTTCTGTGTAATACCATTTCGATCTACAATCACATCGTTTTAGTGTATTTACTTTTTGGTTCTTGTGTATTTTCTTCTCTTAATTTACTTCTTTTCGCATATATATAAATATATTTCACTAAAAACTACGAAATCACAGTCAATGTGCATTGCGTGATTGAAAAATCTCGTCTAACCGCGCATCGTCCTCCGATTCGCAACCAAATACTATTGATGTTCCGATATAGAATTTCTATTTTTCAAATCTAATGCTTCTGGTAATCTCTGTAACCAAACTAGAAGAACTGGCGTTCTTTGGCGAAACCTTTGCGAATAAAGCCTCTCGTAGATCGAAATACTATTAATAAGCGCTTCATGACTCTAAGATTTCGTTGATGCTCACATAGGAACCAGTTAAAAAGCCTACAACGCCAAAGCAGATCAGGAAGAGATTTTTCCACAAGCGCCAATTGAATCGGCCCATGCCTGGATCCTCATGGAAAGTGATTAAGTCAATTAAACCAGGGAAGATCAAACCGAGCGTTGATAAGCACACAGCACCGACCAATGAGATAAAACCTCCCAAGTTTGGAATGGCAATTGCGATCGCCACAGTGCAGATGATTAATAGCCATGCGAACACTGTATTCAACCCAGAGTTTGCGGGCGCCAAAATGTTGCTTCAAGTTCTTCCAGATAATTTCCATTGGCACGTAGAATTGCAAGCTGTAGGTGAAGAAAATGGCAACGGCGATCATTATTTTACAACTTGGGCCAACCTAAAACATTTCAATTAATAAAGTATACAGCAGAGTTTATTATGAATATACTTACACTTCTTCTTTCGGCAAATTCAATGTAATACTAGGTTCGGTAAATTCGCCATATTTCAAGAAACCGAAGAAACCCACAGCAGCATACAATGAAATGACAAAACTCATGCCAGTATTCAAGACACCGGGGCAACCGATGAAATGAGTGGGAGTCTTCATGTTGTTTTCCAAAGGCATAACTACACCAATACCCTCCAGAGCAAAAATGGCAGTGCCGAAGAACATCGGGAGCTTGGTTACTTCAACAAAGTTGGGTCTGCCCGATATCGACGGGAGATCAATGAAGATGTAATAGAAGGTAATACCCATACCACTGGCCATCAGAATGTTAGCGACCATCGAGAACGGAGCCAAATACTTAAGATTCCTGATAAGACCCATCAACAGTAACAAGGGTAACAGCGCTGCCATGTAGAATCGCACGTCTACGTCCGATTCAGAATGAAAGTCAAGAACCTGCTTGACGTTCTTCGCAATGAAACCTATATACACGCAACAACAACCTAATAGATCTATCACGAGAAACAGGTTAATCATTGCTTTGGCAAACCGAGACCACTTGTGTAGATATTCGGGTCCTTGCAGGAAAGCAGCTTCTGCCACTTCGGCGAAACCCAATGATGGCACCCGCGTTCTTCTACATAGAACGTGAGCACTTTTCACTAGTATATGCACACAGTAGGTGCAAATCAAACCAATGAGGAACGTGCACACCAGGCCGAAACCAAGCCCAGCGTTGGCGAATGCCAAAGGCATTGCAAGAATACCACTACCCAGACTTCCTTTAAGAAGATGGATAAGGGTATCCATATCCCTAAGATAATAATTAGTTTAATAAAAATTCTTAGGGAAATAAAATTCGTATTAAATAACTTACGATGTCGGATGGTCCACTTTTCTATGTTCAAATGGGTCATAGTCATCTGCTTCACTATTTTGAGCCGGCCCAAAGAGTGGAAATGTGGACCCATTGGCAAGTGGCACTGGGACGTCATTTTTTTCACTTTTGAAACTGAAAATCAGTACAAATTAGTACCAATCACTTGATCATCTTTGCTCTAATAAACATGGTCAAATAAAACATCATCTGCGCATTATAACTAACGATCCGATAAACTAAATGAACTTAATGGACAAAGTAAGTGTGCAAGTGGGATGGTAGCGACCGAAAACAAAATACTATAGTGTAATAAAAGGAATGATAAGTTACTAGTAGGTATACAATATCATTGATAACCAATCCTAACCAAGTGCATCAAATATTCTCCTAAAGTGATACAAATACGAATGCATGTAAAAATCTTAAATAAAATATAGTAGATAATAATTAAATGTTTGTTTGTACCGTTGGAGATCCCATCATCACCTTTCTGCAGCTCTCTTCAGCACTAGCAGCGCAAAACGCGTTGCGGCAACAGCA